GAATAAAAGTTGAGGGCTAAAGATATGTAAGGGTTTTACTAGATATTATAGGCCAGAATAAAAGTTGAGGGCTAAAGCTATGTAAGGGTTTTACTAGATAGATATAGGCCAGAATAAAGGTTGAGGGCTAAAGCTGTGTAAGGGTTTTACTAGATATCATAGGCCAGAATAAAGTTGAGGGCTAAAGACAGTTGAAACGTACCATTGATATGCAATTTTGCTTTTATAAGACTTGTCTCCTGGTAGCTTATGATGCAAAGTTGGGGTTCAATGTAATTACAGAACAGTTTCTTCTGAACTTGTATAAGTATACTAATCAGGACTGATTAAATTAATATAGCCACTATATGTAAAAACAAAATCAGGTACTTTAATATATTTACTTTCAAAATTGATGTGTAATCAGACTGAATTTGCAAAGTATATTTTTTATTGAAGTATATTAAAAAAACTGAAGAATCTAAGGTTAAGATTGGTTTCTTGAACATTTTAACTTGGTTTTTTACAATATTTGAAGATACTCTTGTTATAGGCACCATGGCAACTGAGGCTGCGTATTTTGTAGTTTACCTAGTTTTGTTAGTAATACTTATAGTATGGTGCTGATAATCTACCTTTGCTGAAAATAAAAATAGGATATAAAGTGAAACAAAAAATCTGAAGCCACACTTTATACATCATATGCAACATAAAAACTAATTCTAGTCTGAAAAGTTTCCAGTTTTGTAAAGAGTAAGTGTGTGGTATTTTCAGGTTAACTGATTTCCTTACAACTTTCAGCTAGGCCCACTAATAATGGCAGATTTGATCAGGAAATAAGGGGAGTAGCTTGTGTTTGACAACTTGGCAGGGTTTCCTTAGTGTGTGTGTCTGTGAAATAATGAGAATGGATTAGTTTAACAGAATGAATACAATCTTTATTACAAAACAAACTGTGTTTATACTTGTGAACCTGAAAAGAGGGTTGCTTCTTGTGGATTGTGTTTAGATCCACAATTTTCTCTCTCTGATAGACTTTTGAACTAAACACATTGATCTGACATTACATCTTTACTCAAGTAATTTCCAGTTAGAGCTAAACCAAGAAAGCACACATCAATTCCATAAGTAAAGTGATTTCTTTGTCTAGTCAATAGTATACCTGGTGACCCTTGTTTTCTTACAGTATTAGTAAACTGTAATACAAAAACATTGTCAATTTCACCAACAAATGATATCAAAGTCACCAATTATTTCAACACAATGCTATATCTTACTGCAATATTCCTTTGGGCAGAATAGGTGTTATCTACTATATGGAACAAAGAAACAAGGCAACCTCATTGACTTTCTGTACCACATGGTTCTGCTAAAACTACACAGAAACTTACAAAATAAACTTTAAAAACTCATGTACAACTAATAATAGGCAAAGCAACATGATAATGCTTGCATTTAACATTAGTACCAATTCATGAAATATTTCATTATAAAGAAGTAAGCTCTCAACATTCTGTATTCTACCTTCAATGTTATATTGAAACTTTCTTACTCACAGAGTTGGGGCATTAGTGAGGAGATTATTTCCATAAGACATTAGATTGTAATTTACCTTTAAAATGACAAAGTTACAGTACCAAATATCAGTTAGACTCAAGATATTTAGCTATTAAAAAGAGTAAACAGAGAATACACAAACCCATACAATGGTTTATATTACACTTTCAAAGCTTCACTTGTGTAAAGTCAGCAGTGTTGTCTAATACGTAACTCTTCACATTTCTTCTATTAAAACAAATCCTCGTTAATGAGTGCAAGTTGGAACACACCTAAATGATGCCAGTTCAAAATAAGAAAAGTTTTCTTTCTATTTCACTGTTAATTATGTGGTGTTGAAATTAGTTGATATTTTAATAAATATTTAGATAATAGATTCTTAATGAAGACTACTAAAGCCTAAGCTATAAACTTATCTGAAATAAGATTATTTCTCAAGTGATCAATATTTTTAACTTTTTTTTTTTTTAAATCTAGTTTCCCAACCAGATAGCACTACAA